CCACCCCCGGGGCTCGCACCTTGTTTTTTCTCAAGGAAAGTCTTCCTGCTCAAACTGTGCCCCTGCCCCCCGGGCTACAACAACAACGGCTCCCGCCTGAGACTTCCTCGATTTTTACTCAGGACCCCCGCTCCCGCCTGAGACTTCCGCGCAATTTACTCAGGAAAGGCGCTCCCGTCTGAGACTTCCTCGCAATGTAATCAAAACCCCCGCTCCCGCCTGAGACTTCCGTGCAATTTACGTGGGAACGGCGCTCCCGCGTGAGACGTCTTCGAATATTACTCAGGACCCCCGCTCCTGCCTGACATTTCCGCGCAATTGACTCAGGAACGGCGCTCCCGCCTCAGACTTCCTCGCAATTTCATGAGGACCCCCGCTCCCGCCTGAGACTTCCGTGCAATTTGCTCAGGAACGGCGCTCCCGCTTGAGACTTCCTCGCAACTTAGTCAGGGCCCCCGCTTCCGCCTGAGATTTCCTCACAATGTACTCAGGACTGCGCTCTCGCGTGCGACGTCCTCACAAATTATTCTGGAATTGCGTTTCGGCGCTCAGGAACCACGCGCGCGCCAAGGACGCCTTCACAACGTGGTATCTTCCCTCTTCCTTCGTCCTTCCCCCTCCCCTTCCTCCCACTCTCCCTCGTTCTTCCCCTCCTCCTCTTGCAGGGCCCGCGCCAATTCCAATGGCGGGCAGAGAGATGTACGCCCCCGAAGGATTGTCCGCCCGTTCCGGTTTGCCCGTACGTCTAAGCCCGCCGGCCCCAGCAAAGAGAAATAATCCCCCCGAAAGGGGTGTGATCGAAGACGAAAAGGGCGGGCATCGAGGGTGTAGGGTATACGTATTGAATGACTCGCGGGCAAGTAAGAGCGCACAGCCTTAAAATGGTTGTTGTTGTTGTTGTTGTTGTTGTTGTTGTTGCTGTTGTTTGTTGTCGTCGTCCAACCCGCAACCCGCCCCGCGACCCACCCGCGACCCACCCCGCGACCCACCCCGCGACCCACCCGCGACTCACCCCGCGACCCACCCGCGACCCACCCCGCGACCCACCCCGCGACCCACCCCGCGACCCACCCGCGACCCACCCGCGACCCACCCGCGACCCACCCCGTGACCCCCCACGACCCACCCCGCGACCCACCCGCGACCCACCCGCGACCCATCCCGCGACCCACCCGCGACCCACCTTCGACCCAAACCACGTACAAGGTACGAACCACCATTTTCGTCGCCGGCGGCGGGTTTCTTTGCATTCCTTCCAGGTGGAGAGCCCGCGACCCACCCCGCGACCAACTCGCGACCCACCAACGACCCAAACCACGTTCAGGGTACAAACCACAGTTTTCGGCGCATGCGGCGGGCATCTTTTGCATTCGTTTCAGGTGGAGAACCCGCGGCCCACCCGCGACCACGATCAGGGTACATACTAAATGTTTCGGCGCTTGCGGCGGGCATTTTTTGCATTCGTCCCCGGTGGAGAACCAGCGGCCCACCCGCGACCCATTCCACGTTGTGTACAAACAAATTTTTTCGGCGCCTGCGGCGGGCTGCTTTTGCATTCCTTCCAGGTGGAGGTGGAGAGCCCGCGACACACCCGCGACCCAAACCACGTCCACTAACACAAACCAATGCCGCACAAGCGCGGCGGCGGATTTTTGCATGCCGTCTGCGCCCGCAACGACCTCTTCAAGCCCCGCGCATCCACACCAGCCCGTCCAGCAACCTTGCCCTGGCGAGTTGCCTTGATCAGAGAAGTCGGGGAGCATAAAGTGGAAAAAAGGAGCGCGTTGCCGTTATCTTGGGAAAGGAGGGGGAGGCAGGAGGAGTAAACAGGGGACGAGGAGGACGCGAAAGAAGAGAGAATGTAAGTCGAATGTGGAGAAAGAGGAGGAGGAGGAACAGCAGGAGGACGAGGAGGGGGAGGAGGACGAGGAGGGGGAGGAGGGGGAGGATGATGATGATGGACGACAATGGGAGGACGACGATGGAGGCCGATGAGGGGGTGGACGACAATGGGAGGACGATGATGGAAGGACGAGGGGGGGAGACGGAGGACGAGGAAGAAGAGGAGGACGAGGTGGAGGAGGAGGATGGCGATGACGACGAGGACGAGGAAGAGGAGGAGGAGGAGGAAGAGGAGGAGGACGAGGAGGAGGAGGAGAACGAGGAGGAGGAGGGGAGCGCCATCGACAAGAAAGGTGGGGGCCACGAGGTCCGCCTGCTCGACGACGTCCGCGTCGCCCGCGCCCGCCCCATCACTCTTATCCGCAACTGCGGGGTGCTATGGTCAGAGTGAGGGGGCCGAACGGTCATTCACTGTCCCTGGGGGCTGAAGTGGGATTTCGCGGTGCGGATTAGTTTTGTTGTTGTTGCTGTTGTTGTTGTTGTTGGTTGTTGGTTGTTGTTGTTGTTTGTTGTTGTTGTTGTTGTTCATTGTTGTCGTCGTCCCACCCGCAACCCGCCCCGCGACCGCGACCCACCCGCGACCCACCCGCGACCCACCCGCGACCCACCCCGCGACCCACCCCGCGACCCACCCCGCGACCCACCCGCGACCCACCCGCGACCCACCCGCGACAGACCCCGCGACCCACCCCACGACCCACCCCGCGACCCACCCGCGACCCACCCGCGACCCACCCGGGACCCACCCCGCGACCCGCCCGCGGCCCACCCCGCGACCCACCCGCGACCCACCCGCGACCCACCCGCGACCCACCCGCGACCCACCCGCGACCCACTCCGACCCACCCCGCGACCCACCCGCGACCCACCTTCGACCCAAACCACGCTCAAGGTACAAACCAGCATTTTCGTCGCCTGCGGCTGGTTTTTTTTGCATCCCTTCCAGGTGGAGAGCCCGCAACCCACCCCGCGACCCACCCGCGACCAAAGCCACGATCAGTGTACAAACCACATTTGTTGGCGCCTGCGGCGGGCATCTTTTGCATTCGTTTCAGGTGGAGAGCCCGCGGCCCACCCGCGACCACGATCAGGGTACATACCAATTTGTTCGGCGCCTGCGGCGGGCATTTTTTGCATTCGTCCCCGGTGGAGAACCCGCGGCCCACCCGCGACCCATTCCACGTTGTGTACAAACAAAATTTTTCGGCGCCTGCGGCGGGCTGCTTTTGCATTCCTTCCAGGTGGAGGTGGAAAGCCCGCGACACACCCGCGACCCAAACCACGTCCACTGAACAAACCAATGCCGCACAAGCGCGGCGGCGGATTTTTGCATGCCGTCTGCGCCCGCAACGACCTCTTCAAGCCCCGCGCATCCACACCAGCCCGTCCAGCAACCTTGCCCTGGCGAGTTGCCTTGATCAGAGAAGTCGGGGAGCATAAAGTGGAAAAAAGGATTGCGTTGCCGTTATCTTGGGAAAGGAGGGGGAGGCAGGAGGAGTAAACAGGGGACGAGGAGGACGCGAAAGAAGAGAGGATGTAAGGAGAATGTGGAGAAAGAGGAGGAGGAGGAGCAGCAGGAGGACGAGGAGGGGGAGGGGGGGGGAGGAGGGCGAGGAGGGGGAGGAGGGGGAGGATGATGATGATGGACGACAATGGGAGGACGATGATGGAGGCCGATGAGGGGGTGGACGACAATGGGAGGACGATGATGGAAGGACGAGGGGGGGAGAGGGAGGACGAGGAAGAAGAGGAGGACGAGGTGGAGGAGGAGGATGACGATGACGACGAGGACGAGGACGAGGACGAGGAAGAGGAGGAGGAGGAGGAGGAGGAGGAGGAGGAGGAGGAGGAGGAGGAGGAGGAGAGCGCCATCGACAGGGAAGGTGGGGGCCACGAGGTCCGCCGGCTCGACGACGTCCGCGTCGCCCGCGCCCGCCCCCTCACTCTTATCCGCAATTGCGGGGTGCTATGGTACTTCTACATGTATGTGTTCGTGTGTATATATATATATATATAAAGACAGTATAACATCTGTGAGCTCGAGCGGGAATCAGAAGGCAATGTAATGTGGCACTCAACCATGGGAACCCGACGACGCCGCCGATAAGTGGACGAAGCTCCGAAGCATCGGCGAGGCCGGGTGCATATCTGAGACCCCCTCCGGAACCGCCTCGCCCGAGGCCGACATCTCCGATCCTGCCGCGGGGCTCCCAGACAGCCAGCGCGCCAATGTGTTCCGATGCGCGGACCACCCCTGGAGGTCTGGACAACTTCTCTATTTGAAGTTCGGAAAAGGGGTGCGGCGGAAAGAGGTAAGTGCCAACCGTGGAATTGGCGATGTTATCTACGATAGATGACGCCACGCCCCTTCACACCATACCCCTTTCTGGAGGCCTCCTAGATCGGGTCGGAGTAGATGGGGTCGGCGGATCGCGCCGCATCGGCGATGCATCGGCGACACCTGCGAGGCATCGGCGTCGTCGACGCGGAGAAGATCGGGCTACGCCTCGAGCCGCATCGCCGATGCATCTGCGACGCGGCGCGATCCTCCTTCCTACCTCCCGATCTATGGAGATGGGTGTTCATCGGGAGCGGCCAAGAGGGGGGTGTCCAAGAGGGGGGGGTGCAAATCATGACCGGCGGCATGTGCGCGGCCCAGCGGTGGGGCCAGGGACGTAATGAAATAAGAAGAGGCGCCATGAAATCTGGGGAACAATCACGGCCCCCGCCATGAGATCCCCCCCCCCCTATAATCATCACCCCCCTCTTTGCCGCCCCCGAGTTCATCCGGGCTCGCGTTCTGACAGCCCCGCGGGGCGCGCGGAGGCCACCCGGAGGCCGCACATGGCATTACCCCGGCCGCCCAAAATAGGGAGCCCACAACGGACGTACGCGCCCAGCTATGTGCATGACCACGGCCCCTCGATTCGCGAGACCGGCCGCGTTATACGAACATTTGTGCAATGCGTGGTCTCGAAACCAGCGTGGATTCATGTACGTGTACGTCCTTCTTTCGCTCCTGACAAAAGTGCTCTCGGAGCCTCGGCTCCGGGGGCGCCCCTGGCCGAGAGGGAGGCGAGGCGAGGGCGCCCGCGGGCCTCAGGGTCCCCGAGAAGCCGTAGCCGAGGAACTTCTTCGGCAGCCGGGCGGCCTGCTCCTCGTTGAGGGCGATGGCCGGGGCCCTCGCGCGCTTGACCTGGGCGGGAAGCGGGCGCGGAGCAGCACAGTCGGGGCGTTGACCTAAGGGACCCTAAATAAGCCACGAGGCCCCTATTTTCCATAAGTTGAGCCTCGATTTCGTATCGAGAACCTAAGGAACACCTAAGGCAGGCTGCGAAACAATCAAGGAACACGGAGCCCCTCCCCAATGAAAAGGGTTCCCCAATGACGATTAATAAATGACCGGGGGTCGTGCTCACGCGGCGGCGCCCGGGATGACGATTCGGAAAAACCGGCCGCGGGCTGGAAAGCTATTCTTTGAATCGTTCTCCTCCCGTCAGAAAATGGTGCAGAAATGGCAGAAAACTGTTTTTTATCGTTCTCTCCCAGGAGGAGGAGGAGGAGGAGGAGGAGGAGGAGGAGGAGGAGGAGGAGGAGGAGGAGGAGGCGGGGGAGGAGGGAGGAGGAGGAGGAGAGGAGGAGGAGGAGGAGGAGGCGGGGAGGAGGAGGAGGAGGCGGGGGAGGAGGAGGGGAAGGAGGAGGAGGAGGAGGAAGAGGAGGAGGAGGAGGAGGAGGGGGAGAAGGGAGGAGGAGTTTTTTATTAATCGTCATCCCGCATTAGGGGGGGGCGATACAGTCGACCCGTCTCCTGAGGATGCGCGGTGAGGATGCAGGGGCCTCGGAGGCCCGTGGTCGAACGTCTTGTCCGAGCGGGGCTGGCCGGCGCACGTCGCCGAGGGTGTGCCGAAGGGGCAGGGATGCATGGGCACCCTTGGGAAGGTTGCCCATCCTGATTACGCGGGGTTGACTGTCACTCGCCATCGCTCGGACGTCCATTCCCTGTGTTTTTTTTGGTTTCGTGCGTGGTTTTTTCGCCACATGAGCAGGGATGCTCCTCGATGGTTCTCGCCGAGAAAAAATGCACACGTCCGAGCGATGCCAGGGTCAAGGGGGGCGGGGGGGAGAAAGGTGCCCTTCTCGGGCCTCTACAGGCCACCTTCGAGGCCCAAGGGGGTCCATGTTGGGGCCCTGGCAGGGTCCCTGGTGCAGCCCGCGCTGCCTCCCCCCCCCCTGCATTGCCCCCTCCCCCCCGCGCGCGTCCTCCGAGGGGCGGCCTGGGGCCCCACGCCGGCGGCGCGCTTAAGGGCGGGGAGGCGGACGCACGAACAGGGAAAGGCGACGTGCCAGCGCCACCGGGGCGAGGAGATGCGAGGAGCCAGCGGGGCCTCCCTGGCGCTGTGCTCTCCCTCGAGGCGCCCCCAGCCTCCAGCGCGGGGAGGCTCCGTGGACCTCCTCTGCGCGGAGGTGGCCCTCCCCCCTGGTGGTGTTGCTGTCGCTTCCCCTCCCTCCGACAGACACGAAGGGAGCGGGCCTCTCCCAGGAGACCCTGCAGGGGACCCCTGGCCTCCCGCGCAGCTCCCCGAGCCCGCCGGGGGAGGCCACGGAGGGCTGCCACCGGCAGGCCGGCGGGGCCTCTGAGGAGCCCCGCCGCCGCCCTGGGAGAGGGCCGCGGACCTGTCGCGGAAGCACCGGACCTTTTCGCGAGCTCACCGCTGGAGGCCAGGACTCCCCGCACCTCCTCCGCGGGAGGCGAGAAGCCTCTCGCGCCTATTCTCGCGAGAGCCCTGGCCCCAGCTCGCTCCGTTGGCGGCACGTACCAGGGAGCAGGGGTGCGTCTGAGACGCCCTCCCCCCTCCCCCCCCCCCCTTGCCCCCTCTCCCCCCTCCCCCCCCTCCCCCCCTTCTGCACAATTGCCAATATGAATGCTACTCTCCTCCTTCCCCTGATGACGGGTTGGGAGTGTTCGCCCCCCCCCCCCCCCCCCCCCCACGCACTGTTTCTAACACACAAGATTCCCCCGAGTTGGGTTGTCGCATGCATTTTCTTCCAAAGTGCTGTTCTCGCTGAAGCGCGGGCCTCATTTCCGGGCCCCGCTCGTTCCGAATCGCGTTCCCGCTGCAGCGCTGGCCTCATTTCCGTGTTTCCGCTCGTTCCGAATCGTGCTCCCGCTGCAGCGCTGGCCTCATTTCCGCGCTTCCGCTCGTTCCGAATCGTGCTCCCGCTGCAGCGCAGGCGTCATTTCCCGTGCCATGCCACGGCATGCAATGCAATTCTAGGTTGCGTTCCGCTGCGCGATGCCACGCCTTCAGCTGAAGCTGTGATATGCAATGCTTACGTGCCACGTCGTGCTATGCCATGCGACGCTTTGATCTGCAACGCCATGCTATGCAATGTTATGTTCGGGGCACCTGTGCGATGCCATGCTTTGCGTTGCAAAGCTTTGTGATAAAATTATTCACTACGCCACGCCGCGCCATGCTGTGACATACTACGCTTTGCGGTGCTCTTCTACGCCATGCCACGCCGTGCTCTACAATGCATCGCGTACCCTTTCGGGATCATTGCCCTGCTCGCCATCCGACTGTGCGAGTAGAGAAGGGATCTACGCCATGGTAAGGGATGGGAAGGAGGGGTAGGATGACAGATATGACGCGAGCGCACCTCGCTTGCCCCCTCCCCCCTTCCCCCCCCTCCCCTCTCCCCCCCTCCCCCCCTCCACAATTATTGAATATGAATACTACTCTCCCTCTTCCCCTGATGACGGTTTGAAAATGTCCGACCCCCCCCCGCGTACTGTTGTTTTACACACAAGTTTCCCCGAGTTGGGTTTTCGCCTGCATTTTTGTTTCAAAATGCTGCTCTCGCTGAAGCGCGGGCCTCATTTCCGGGCCCCGCTCGTTCCGAATCGCGTTCCCGCTGCAGCGCTGGCCTCATTTCCGTGTTTCCGCTCGTTCCGAATCGTGCTCCCGCTGCAGCGCTGGCCTCATTTCCGCGCTTCCGCTCGTTCCGAATCGTGCTCCCGCTGCAGCGCTGGCGTAAATTCCCGTGCCATGCCACGGCATGCAATGCAATTCTAGGTTGCGTTCCGCTGCGCGATGCCACACCTTCAGCTGAAGCTGTGATATGCACTGCTTACGTGCCACGTCGTGCTATGTCATGCTACGCTTTGATCTGCAACGCCATCCATGCTTTGCGTTGCAAAGCTTTGTGATGAAATTCTTCACTACGCCACGCCGCGCCATGCTGTGACATACTACGCTTTGCGGTGCTCTTCTACGCCATGCCACGCCGTGCTCTACAATGCATCGCGTACCCTTTCGGGATCATTGCCCTGCTCGCCATCCGACTGTGCGAGTAGAGAAGGGATCTACGCCATGGTAAGGGATGGGAAGGAGGGGTAGGATGACAGATATGACGCGAGCGCACCTCGCTTGCCCCCTCCCCCCTTCCCCCCCCTCCCCTCTCCCCCCCTCCCCCCCTCCACAATTATTGAATATGAATACTACTCTCCCTCTTCCCCTGATGACGGTTTGAAAATGTCCGACCCCCCCACGCGTACTGTTGTTTTACACACAAGTTTCCCCGAGTTGGGTTTTCGCCTGCATTTTTGTTTCAAAATGCTGCTCTCGCTGAGGCGCCGGCCTCATTTTCGGGCCCCGCTCGTTCCGAATCGTGCTCCCGCTGCAGCGCTGGCCTCATTTCCGTGCTTGCGCTCGTTCCGACTCGTGCTCCCGCTGCAGCGCTGGCGTCATTTCCCGTGCCCTGCCACGGCGTGCAATGCAATGCTAAGTTGATACTACGCTTTGCGGTGCTCTTCTACGCCATGCCACGCCGTGCTCTACAATGCATCGCTAAACCCTTTCGGGATCATTGCCCTGCTCGACATCCGACTGTGCGAGTAGAGAGGGGATCTGCGCCATGGCAAGGGATGGGAGGGAGGGGTAGGATGTCAGATATGACGCGAGCGCACCTAGCTTGCCCCTCCCCCCTCCCCCCCTCCCCCCCCCCCCCTCCCCCCCTCCCCCCCTCTCCCCTCGCCCCCCTCCTGCGCGCGGCCGACGGTGCCTCCGCGCCCCTGCCCCCTCGGCGCCTCGCCGCGCCGCCGACCACCAGGGCGAGGGACGCGGGGGGGGGGGGGGGCTCGGCCCGCAGAGGGGGCCGCCACCTCGCCTGCGCCGCGGGCCCGCCCCCGCCCACCGCCAGAGGGTGCCGCCTGCCGCGTCGTCTGCGGTGGCGCTGGGGCACCAGAGAGAGAGGACTGGCGGCGAGCGAGGGGGGGGGGGGGGAAATGGGATGGGGAAGGCCTGCTTCTCAGAAGGCGCCGGGACCTCTCAGAAGCCCTCGCGGCGCCTTCCGAGGAGTTTTGATTGTGTCCTCGGGGATGGGTTCGAAAACTTCTCAGAAGGCCAGGGGGTTCTGCGCCCTCTCTTACATCGGGCATCGCCTCCTACAGGCGGATTCTGGAATCGGGCATGTCCTCCTGCGGGCGGGTTCTGGAGATCACACAACAAAAAACGCGAGCCCACACTATTCTGTTGGACTGTGTTTGACCATGTCGCCTGCAGAGGGACACGCCCGACTCAAGCCTTCCGAGAAGGCCCGCCCCTCCTCACTTCCCCCCCCCCCCGTCGCTCTCCGCCGAGCGAGGGAGAGGGGGGGGGGATCGGCTCGCAGAAACCTGCCACCCCACAGCTGCGCCGCGGGCCCGCCCCCGCCCGCCGCCAGAGAGGGTGCCGGCTGCAGCGCAGCGTCGTCTGCGGCGGCTCTGGGGAGGGCCCGTTGTTGAGCAGGGGCCGACCGTCCCGGCAGTGCGAATAGGCCTACCACCAAATTGTCTTAGATCCCAAAAATGTCCCAATAACAAAAGCAAGGTTCTTAGAGCGTAAGCCCGATGTGTTAAAACAAGCCAGTCTCAGCCAGAAATGTCCTGATAACATTTCGCGCAGACCACAAACAAATCGTAGAACATTATTTGGTGGCCCCATAGGCGAGCCAGGACGCTTCGCCACTGCTTGACGCTGGGCGGCCAGGCGGATGGGGGCGGCCAAGAGACGGGGGGGCGCGCAGCAGGGCCGGCGGCACGTGCGCGGCCCTCATGGAGGGGGAGAGAGAGAGAGAGAGAGAGAGAGAAGCAGGAGTGCGTCCAAGTTGCCCGAACGCAAACGCTAGAAGAAAAGAAAGGGACGGGGAGGGGCT